AAACATGTTAGCAATGCTTATATTTTAGCCCATTTACGTCAAAAAACTTTAAAAACAACGATTATGACAATTGTCACTTATCTATCGTACATCTTCACTAAAATTTTATTTAAACATGTTAGCAAAGCTTATTTTAGCCCATTTACGTCAAAAAATTCGAAAAACTTTAAAAACAACGATTATGACAATTGTCACTTATCTATCGTACATCTTCACTTAAATTTTATTTTAACATGTTAGCAATGCTTATTTTAGCCCATTTACGTCAAAAAAATTCGAAAAACTTTAAAAACAACGATTATGACAATTGTCACTTATCTAGGGTACATCTCCACTAAAATATTATTTAAACATGTTAGCAATGCTTATTTTAGCCCATTTACGTCAAAAAATTCAAAAACTTTAAAAACAACGATTATGACAATTGTCACTTATCTAGGGTACATCTCCACTAAAATATTATTTAAACATGTTAGCAATGCTTATTTTAGCCCATTTACGTCAAAAAAATTCGAAAAACTTTAAAAACAACGATTATGACAATTGTCACTTATCTAGGGTACATCTCCACTAAAATATTATTTAAACATGTTAGCAATGCTTATTTTAGCCCATTTACGTCAAAAAAATTCGAAAAACTTTAAAAACAACGATTATGACAATTGTCACTTATCTAGGGTACATCTCCACTAAAATATTATTTAAACATGTTAGCAATGCTTATTTTAGCCCATTTACGTCAAAAAAATTCGAAAAACTTTAAAAACAACGATTATGACAATTGTCACTTATCTAGGGTACATCTCCACTAAAATATTATTTAAACATGTTAGCAATGCTTATTTTAGCCCATTTACGTCAAAAAAATTCGAAAAACTTTAAAAACAACGATTATGAAATTGTCACTTATCTAGGGTACATCTTCACTTAAATTTTATTTAAACATGTTAGCAATGCTTATTTTAGCCCATTTACGTCAAAAAAATTCGAAAAACTTTAAAAACAACGATTATGACAATTGTCACTTATCGGTACATCTTCACTAAAATTTTATTTAAACATGTTAGCAATGTTTATTTTAGCCCATTTACGTCAAAAAAATTCGAAAAACTTTAAAAACAACGATTATGACAATTGTCATTTAGGGTACATCTTCACTAAAGTTTTATTTAGACATGTTAGCAATGTTTATTTTAGCCTATTTACGTCAAAAAAATTTAAAAAACTTTAAAAACAATGATTATGACAATTGTCATTTATCGACGGTACATCTACATTAAATTTTACCTGTTAAAGAAACATATTTTTGCCCATTAGCGTCACAAAAAAATCTTATATGTTCAAAAATATACCTACCTATTATGATAATTATCATTTTTCCAGGGAACATCTTCATTGAATTTATAATATAATATCTTTACAATATAAATTATATTATAACCCTTTTGTGTCCAAAAATTTCAAAAATCTTAAAAAATAACGCATATGACAATTGTCGCATTAAAAAAAAGTTTGACATAAATATTAATAAAAAAATAATTTAGAAAAACCACCTCTTTTAATATACTTAAAATATAGATATATTTTAAAAAAAAATTATTTAGAAAAAGAAAAACCACCTCTTTTAATATTCTTAAAATATAAATATATTTATTAAAAAAATATTTAGAAAAAGCCACCTCTAATAATAAACTTAAAATATAGATATATTTATAAAAATAATATAAAAAAACTATAGAAGATTTGACCTAAAAGATTATTTATTTATGATATAATTAAAAAAAGAATAAAATTTTATGATAAAACAAAAGAATAAAATTTCTTCAAAAAATCAGCAAAATATGTTTCAAAAATATTTTTTGCTTAAAATTTTTAGCTCAAAAATATTAATTTTTTTTTATTTAAAAAAAAATCAAATAAATAAATCCATTTTTTTATAATCAAATCAAAACATATTATTTGCATTAAATAAAATATAAATAAAATAAATTATTTTACTAAAAATAAATAAATAAAATTCTACATTATTATTTAAAATTTCTCAATAACATAAAAATAATTTTTGGCTCTAAATTTAAAATAAACTCAAGCTACCCTCTGAGCCCACTAAGTGAGCCGACTAAGTGAGCCGACTAAGCGAGCCGACTAAGCGAGCCGACTAAGTGAGCCGACTCGTGCGGCTCCTTGATCGGCTTGAGTCGGAGCCGTTTTCTACGACTCGAGTCGCAAGTCGTAAGAACTAGACTTTTTAACAACACTAGTGTTAATATAAATTTGAGTGTCGAAAAATAACTTCTCAACATTAACTTGGTAACAATATTATTATCCATTGAAATCTAAATTTTTTAATAAATCTGTTAAAATTATTTTAAATATTTATTTTAAAAAAAAATTTATGATCTAAATTTCTAAAATCACATAACATACCAATAAATTTTAATATTGTTATATTATAAGAAACAAACTGAAAATTATGTAATAAACTGAATTAGTATTATTTTTTTCAGAATCTTTCAAAACTGTTTCGAGAAGGTATTGGGGATTACTGTTCCCATTCCTTTTAAGTTCCAAATTTTCCCCAACTTCCCTTCCTGAACGTTTTGCTCCATGTCCTTGTAAATATTACAAATTCCTGAGATCTCATTCAAATAATTAATCGACCCAACTGACAATAAAAATTGGTATCACGTCAATTCGGCGCGGAAAATTTGGCGCACGACATTTCGGCGCGGTGACAATTCAGCGCAACGTCAAATCGGCGCGGCGACAATTCAGCGCGTATCTATCAGTTGCATTTTATTATATATTACTTAGTATAAAAAAATAAGGATGATATAATAGAAATCATTTGGAATTTTGGTCCTATTAATTATTTCTCCATATTTATTTTTACAAAAATCTCAATTTTATTTACTAAATGTGTAATATCAAAAAAAATTAACAATCAATATTTATACCTATTTCTTTGGTTGATCAATTTACCACATAAGATATGTTGATTAATAGCCAAAGTTATGTAAGCCGAGATTTTGAAGAAAGAAAGAAAAAGAAAGGTTTGAACCTCTATCTCGAATCTTACATATTATTTTGGCTGAAATTTAAACCGACCGTTTTTAAAAAGAGACCCAGCCATAATCCAAAAATATCAAATTAAGACTGAATTATTTTTTAGATTTATTAAAAATTCTTAAATTCTATTAATCCTTTTTAAAAAAAATATTATACTTAGGCTAATTTTTTCTATTATATAAATCAAAAATTAAATGTGTAATATCAAAAAAAAATTAACAACCAATATTTATACCTATTTTTTGTTGACCAATTTACCACATATGGTAGAGATTTTTGGTATAGAAGAAAGAAAGAAAAAGAAAGGTTTGGACCTCTATCCCGAATCTTACATATTATTTTGGCTGGAATTTAAATCGACCGTTTTTAAAAATAGACCCAGCCATGGTCCAAAAAAAATCAAATTAAGACTGACTCACTTTTTAGATTTATTAAAAATCCTTAAATTCTTTAATCCTTAAATTCTATTAATCCTTTTTAAAAAAAATATTATGTAGACTAATTTTTTCTATTATATAAATCAAAAATTAAATGTGTAATATCATAAAAAATTAACAACCAATATTTATACCTATTTCTTTGGTTGACCAATTTATCACATAAGGTATGTTGATTAGTAGCCAATGTTATGTAAGCCGAGATTTTGGGCATATTACTTATCAGGGGGGTATATTATTTTTTTATAATTTTTTTTTTTTTTATTATCTAAAATTAGGCGTGAAAAGGGGATTTAAGATTTAACATTATAGTACTTAACAGGGGGTATTTTGGGTCTATTTTTAAAAAACGCTTGATTAAGATTGTAGCTAAAATAATATATAAGATTGGAGATAGAGGTCTAATCTTTCTTTTTCCTTTTTCCTTCTATGCGCAAAATCTCCAGGCTTACACAATATTGGATACTAATCAACATACCTTATAATGTGGTAAAATGGTTCATTAAAGAAATAGGTATATATATTAGTTAATTTTTTTCGATATACATTTAGTAAATAAAATAGAGATTTTTTGTAAAAATAAATATGGATAAATAATTAATAGGACCAACATTCAAAATGATTTATATTTAATCATCCTTATTTTTTTATACTAAGTAATATATAATAAATTGCAACTGTAATAGATACGCGCTGAATTGTCGCCGTGTCGAATTGTCGTGAGCTGAATTGTCGCCGCTTCGAATTTTCCGAGCCGAATTGACGTGGAACCATAAAAATTATATTAGAACTTATTAAATAAAATAAATATCAAAAATAATAGTTTAAAAGATTAACATCTATAATAATTATATAAATAATGGAGTTAATGCAATTTATAGCATATTATAGTTCATAATTACTTATAAACGTTCATACTAAATAGTTTTTATATTCTAGAACATTATATAAAAATCAAGTATCAATAAGGATAGTTAGTGATAGAGGTATGCAAAGCCCGGTCTGCTTCTGCACCTTAAGGATTTTTGCACAAGTTGCCAGGCTACGTTATAATTTTCTGAAAAAATTTCCGGCCTGTAAAAATTTTACAAAAAGTCTGCCCCGGCCTGATAAACTAATTGTTTAATTTTTTGTGAAAATACATATTATGTATAGATTTAGTATTTTAGTTAGACAGCTCTTAAAATACAATGAAATAAGCATATTGTAATATATTTTCAAACAGTGTTACTCAAAATATTAACTTAAAATTCAAAAATATTAAAATCTAACCCGAGCTGGTCTATTAAACTTTTACGAAAAATCAGATATTAGCGAAACCCTGCCTGGTATTTTAGTAATATTTGTCAGGCCCGAAAATTTTTTATGCACGAATAGCTCAGTTCATTATAAAAAAAAATTAAAAATTCTGGCTCACGGGTTTAGCTTTGCAGATCTCTAGTTGGTTATATAAGAATAATTGACATTTTTAAAATAAAAAATATTTTACTTTAGCTTCAAACGCTAAAAATAGCTCTAATCGTAATTACAATAACCAAATTTATAATGATGATTTGGACAACTTAAACGATCTAATGGGAGATAGCAAGAGGGCAAGGACTGCCTATACTAGACATCAAGTTCTTGAATTAGAAAAAGAGTTCCATTTTAATCGGTATACAAACCTTTTTCGATTATTTATATATTTTTTGCAAGTATAAATATAAATATTTAAGGTATTTTTCTTCTATTCGTATAGTGTTTAAACAATAGCTAGCGTTTGTTATTTACTATTCTCATCGCTCCCCCATATATTTTTGGTATTTTATCATTTCAAAACTGAATAAAAGAAAGGAATATTTTTCAGAATTTTTTTAAACTTATCTAGATACTTAACGAGAAGACGTCGAATCGAGATCGCCCATTCTCTGATTTTGAGTGAGAGACAAATAAAAATTTGGTTTCAAAACAGACGCATGAAATGGAAGAAAGATCATAAATTACCTAACACCAAAATCCTGAATTTTAATAAAACTAATTCTACCCCTTCTACCATATCGATTCCCCTTTCATATGATAATTTGTCGGAAAACGTTTCCGATACTGATCCATCTAAAAAAAATAAAGAGCACAATTTTATAGAATCATCTATAGAAATTTACAAGGATAATAGATACGATTCTTCAATTTACCCTTATGATCTAAAAATGGAACCAACAGTAAATAACCAAGATGATTGGATGACCATCAAATCTGAAAATAAACAAAAAATGGTTTTCAATGATAATCCGTTTAATTATGAAATACCTTTAGATACCATCAAGCTAGGTGAAAGCAAACAATTGACTCATCAGAAATCATCTGAACCCCAGGAATATAATAATTCGGACTTTAAATCCAGCATTATTGAATCCTCAAAAAATAAACATTTCGGTGATGACATAATCGGCAAATATAACACAACTAACAAAATTGATTGCGATGTCATGAAAGGCAATTGGGTTGATGACAAACCGAGAAAGCCCCTTTTAATATCAGGATATTACTTCTAAAAAATATCTGTATTCATATACTTTTCATATCAAACAGTATTTTATATTTATTATATTCCTCGTATAATTTGCGAAATTCCTTATTTAATATTATAAAATGATAATAAAAATAGTGTATAAAGATATATTATAGAAGGTGTTAATTTGATTATATTTCATTTTTATTTATTATTTTTAGTTATGAACCAGGATTGGGTGAATAAAATTCAATTTTATTTGAGTCGAAAATTTTTTTGTCTGTTTTAAAAATATTATTAAGCTAAATAATTGAAGAATTTCTTCTTGTAAAGTACAAAGAATAAATAAAGCATGATAATAACATTTGAATGTTTATATAATTATTTGTGATAAAATATTAGGGGTGTGCCGATCCACATATTTTTCACCGATCCGATATTGGTTCAAAACCGAACCGATATTTATATTGATTTTTCACACCCCCCCCCCTTGAACCAAATGTAATTACGAAATCAATATTTATATGCAAAAAATCGAATTATGCATTTCATTTAATTTTTTTTATTTCTACTACAATAATTAAGAAAAAATCATATTATAATAGACAAAATAAATATATTAAATAATATATCCATTTTATGTTGGTATGAATTTTAAAATTGTAATAAATTTATAATATATTAGATTAAATATAATATTTCCATATTTCAGATATCATATTTAAAAAATTCTTTTATTTAAAGTATAAATAAATAATATTTGCGTTATCACTTAAAAATATTTAAAATAAATAAAACTTTGGGTGTTACTTTCTATTTTTACTTTTAAAATACTATAAATCTATTTTTTTTTAAAAAAATTAAGGGGTGTTGTGCAATTGCATTGCTCAAAAAAAGAATTATTTAGAAAATATTATTAATGTAAAATAAATATACATAACATACATTGGCGTACGCAGAGGTGGGGGGGGGTGGCAGGGGGACAAATCCCCCCCCCTCCCCAAAGCCAAAAAATGCAGATGCCCCATATATTTTTCAAAAATATTATTGTTTATATTAATTTATATTTGTTAATATTTATTCGTATCTCATATTAAATATATATTTTATTACATTTATTATCACATTCATAAGTTATTTTATCAATTAATTTCGATTTCAAGTTTTCCGGCCTAATATTTAATTATAATTTTCAAATTTTTAGGGGCGTAATATTTATCTACCATTTGCAAATTTCTAGTCAAATAATAATTATTTCTGAAACTTCTGGTCCAACAGGGAAAAAGAAATTGCAACCTTGTCCAACGAGATAGAGCCTCTTCCATCAAGAACTAACAGCTATTAAGGAGTTAGAAGAGCCAATTATTTGCTATTACTGAAATATCACAATAGCCTGAAAAAATATTTCCTCAGAAGCAAGAAAATTATTGGATTCAATGCTTATTCCAAATTTTATTTCTCATTAGAATGTATTATTTAATTATACAACTATTTTAAGTATTACTTTTCAAAAAAATGACATTGATTTGATTTAGAAGATGAAAATGCGGAGAGCATTTTATCAGAACTCAAGGAAATTAGGGCTAATGTTGATGAAGAATTTTATATATTATTGTTGAGTCAAAAGCAGAGCTATACCTGTTTAATATTTGTCTCCCTCGACTTGTAGCAAGGCAAGCTCATCGTTAAAACATTAATATAGGATCAGTAGAAGGGTATATCTTAGATGCAGATACATTTATAACCCAAATAAATAAATTTTTAATTCATCATGCAGCACTCACATCTGCAAATATTACTCCCACAAAAGCCTTCCCAACCTTTTTCAGATGGTGATAGAAAAAAAAATATTTATTAGATTTTTATTATGAAGATGTTAAAGTATCTTATGATGCCTTACTAGCTGAATAACTATGTTTATAAAATTAACTATAGTTGATATAGTCCCAAAAAATGCTATGGATGCTCTGCATTATTTCAAACACATTTTAGATTAAATTCCCAATGTATTAAAAGGGTTTATAAACTCTTCCCATTAGTAAACTAATGAGAGAACACTCTCTTTTTTAAGAAGAATAACAGAGGCTTGCAGAAGTACCATTTGCAGGGCACGGCCCGGATTTTTTTTAAGAAATTTTTACGGCCCGGCCAGGCTTTTTTTAAAAAAATTTTAGGCCCGGCTCGGCTTTTTTTTTTAATTTTCAGGCTCGGCCCTGTTTTTTTTAAAATAAAATTTTCAGGCCTGGCCCTGATTTTTTTAAAATAAATTTTATTTATTTTTGATTTTTATTGCTAATAATAACGATTTCAAATATAGGCTGTTTTAAAAAATACAGCCCGTCCTGGGTGTTTTTTTTAAAATAATTCAGGCCCGGCTTGGGTGTTTTTTAAAAAAAATTTAGGTCCGGCCCGGATGTTTTTTTAAAAAAAATTCGAGCCTGGCCCGGGTATATTTAAAAAAATTAAAATACTGTCCGGCCCAGGGGCCGGGCCTGCAGGTCTCTGAAAAACATACCAAAAAGTACAACATGTGAAAGTAGATTGTAAGGTTTGGATCTTTTGAATATTCAAGGCATTTAGCGACAAGCAAGGATGAGATAATTCAAAAATTAGCTCAATCCCAACCAAGATTGGATTTTACATTGTAAATATATAACATACAAAATACAATTATTCCTAATAAACTTTTTGTGTAAAGGCTCAAAAAATCCAAATTTCTATTTTGGGTCATTTAAGTGATTCTTTACATATAATTTTTTTTATAATTCACATTAATTTAAAATTGTGCATTAGGAATAGTTATTAGTCCTAATAAATTTATGCTTGATATTTTTAAAAAACAATAATATTTCTTAAAAAAATTTATTATCCCCCCCCCCCCCAAACCAAATTCCTGCGTACGCGCCTGATAACATAAAATAATAAAAAAAGAAAAGTAAAAAGATCGGAATTTTTTACATATATCGGTCGATCCTATATTTTTGGAAAACGCTAAATATCGGTGCCGATCCGATATTTAATATCGGCACAGCCCTAAAAAATAATATTATCTTATTCTAAATATTATTTTGGTTAGTATATATTCCTTAATATATTCATTTTATTAAGGTATATAGTTAGATGTCAATGATTGGAAAAAGAGAATTTATCAATCCTTTTTTCAGACCAAAGCCTTTGGAGTTGAGTAGTGATTTACTCCGTCAGTGCTGTTTATTTTTTATAAAGTAGACTTGTTTATTCATCAATGTATATGAAAAAATACCATTTTTAAATATATGTCAGACCTTCGGTAATGCCCTATATCATCTACCTCATAGATCTGGTTTCTAAATCGAGATCTGCAAAGGGCAGTCGGTTAAATTTTTAGCAATTATAATTTTGTGAAAAATTTACACGGCACGTTAAAATTTTACAAAACCACCCCGCTCCATTAAATTATTTTGTATGAATTTTCTGGCCATTACAATTTTATCTAGACCTGCAGCATCGGTGGCGCCGTTTCTTTTTTAAACGATAGGCTGGCGGCGGTGTCAAATATTTTTCTAACTTAAATTTTTTAATTAAAATTGTAGATTCATTGGAAACACTTTTAAAATAAAATTTATGCTTTATTATGTTCTTAACTATTAACGATTTTATCAAGTCATAATTATCATGTATAAATATTATTTTATTTATTATAGGACATAAAGATGATCTTTTAGAGTTCAGAGTGAGTCCAGCTATGGAAAATACATGCTCGCTGGGTGCACTCATAGCTTAAACGCACAGGATCTTTCTAGCTAATATTGAGGGTTTAGGAAGATACAATGCTCTTATCTTCCAAAAATCGAAGACATCTTTTATATCTAAATTATAAGGCAAAAATAATGAATTCACTCTTTTTCTAAATTAGTTAAATAGTCTTGTTGTTTCAGATTATTGTTATGAATAGAAATGTTTGGTAGCCAATGACTTAAGATAATCGAATTCTGAAGCAACTTCCGTCGTTTCAGATTCGGTTAATTCGTCCGTGTAAGGCAACAGGTAGTGTGTCAGTTGCCATGTCTCCCCCCATCAGCGGGAGTCCCGAAATTTTTTAGTTTACACGCAGACATCGCTTTCCCGCAAAACTACCGCAATTGGAAATCTCTCGCAAAAATCTACCGCAATTTTTTAATTTCTCCCGCAATTTTTTTAAAATAATATTTTAATGTTTTTAATATATAAATAATAATTTTGAGAGACAGTAATTGATTATTTTTATATTTTTAAAATAAATTTTAAATATTTATTCGAAAAACATGTCTAGTTTGTAAATTTCTTTTTATCCTGTTTTATTTTTATCCAATAATAAATTAACATCATTTCATTCATATAAGTCAGTACAGGGGAGTATATCGTATATCAACATCGAATCAATGCAAAAATATTCTCCAAAATAATAAATAATACAGATGCAACTACAGCTGCGGAAATTGTATAAAACTATCATGTAGTTCAACAATCACAGAGCTATAGCATCACAATGTTGGTCGAATCTTTTTCTCATATTTAATGTCTCCAATATAAGTGCAAACCTTACTTGTGTTAGAACACAAATGAGCAGTACCTGAATCCTAGAGGTCAATTCTAGACGATTTGAAAGATGGACATCCATATACAATTCTAAAACACTTCCCTTGAACCTTCGCTATTTCAACAAGAATAAGAACATTTCAATAAAACTGTTAAAATTTTTTCCTCGGATAGTAAAAAATCTGTAGCTAACCACATAATGTAAATATAGCTGATTCAGGGTTGAATTGCATGTCAGCTATCTGCGCTGATAATGCTTATGTAAATTTTGGCAAAAACCGTGTATTTACCGAATTGAGGCAGCACAATAACGAATTAATACCAATTGGTTGTAGATGCCATATGCTACATAATTCTTGCAAGAAGCAATGAAAGTACTATCTGTGGATGTCGAAATAATTGTGATGAAATGTTTTAACGAATTTATTTCATCAACTAAAAGAGTTGGTGGAGTGGTCTGACTTGGAATGTGAGTTGTTGCGATATGTACCTATCAGGTAGTTATCATTAATACCTGCATCGATAAAATTTTAAAATTTACAAACCCTTAAAAAATACTTTTTAAATAAAGATTTTAAAAGCTGTCCTAAATTTTTTGGATTATGAAATGGCAGAAGCATATTTGGGATTAGTTTCACGTGTAGGTAATCTACTTAATGCAATTGATATTCAGTTGTAATCAGAATATTTTTTATTAATAAAGATTCACAAAATCATGCTACAGCTCTGATCATCTCTACAGTTAAAAATTTATAATAAATTTTATGGCGCTATTGCTAGAAATATTATGTTCAAATAATACTCTAATTATACATTTTTAAATGAATCAGATATTTTTATTAAGACAATTTTAGAATATTTACAAAATTTGATTTTAATAACTCTATTTACAAACGTATAAATATTATGACCTTGGAACAAAAACCATCAATTGATGGTTTTTATAATTTAATTGAGGACTGCCTGGAAAAAGGAGAGAAATCGGATTGCTTTAACAACATTAGAGGCTTAGCTAATGGTTAAACAAATATATAATATGTCATGCCAGTAACTTTATAAATATCTCAATAACGACGGTACACATTTAGTTCTATTATTTAAATCTTAAATAAAATATAATTAGGTTTAGCAATTCCGCTATAAAATTTATTATCAATTTTTAACTGTAAAGATGACCACGCAGATAATTTTGTGAATCTTTAATAAGATTCTTCTGATTACAACTGCACATTAACAGCATGTAGTAGATTTTCTGCATGTGAAATCATACCTAAATATACCCCTGCCATTCATTATTGAAAATATTTTCAAAATGTTAGGACAGCTTTTATAATTTTTATTTAAGAGATACTTTTTTAAAGGTTTATAAAATTTTAAAATCCTATCGATGGCGGCTATTAGGAACATATCGCAACCAACATTGTGCTGACTCGATTCTGTAAATACACTGTATTACCAAATTCACTGAGGCATTATCAGATCAGAAAGCTGACATGCAATTTATTGATAATCTCGAATCTGATATATTTACCATTATATGGTTAGCTATGTCTTTGGATTTTTCACTATTTGAGTGGAAAAAAATTAATAGTTTTATTGAAACGACCTTAATTTTGTTGAAATAGCGGAGGATCAAGAGAAATTTTTAATATTTCCTTATTAGATGCATCTGTTAGAATTGTATATGTATGCCCATCTTTCAAATCGTCAATTGACCTCCTGGATTTAGGTCCTAAAACATTGATGATAGCCTTGCTCATTTTTGTTCTACAAGTATACTTTTCATTTATTATGGGTAAAAGATTCTACCAACATTATGATGATAAGTATCTCTGTGAATGTTGTACTACAAGATAAGTGATTACAATTGCCGCAACTGTAATTGCATCTGTATTATTTCTTATTTTTGGAGTCCTTCTCCTTATTATGCATTTAAACGTGATAAGTGATAAATAAGTGCCTATCCCTATTATGTTATATACACACATGGTAGATTTCCAATCGGTCGTTTTACGGGACATCGCATAAAATATATTTTTAATTGTAAAATTTAAAAAAAAATTTTTATAAAATTTTATCTTTACATTCTTTTAATTTAAAAAAGATCGTTGGTGTTTTTATAAATTTATTTTAATAAATCAAGATGTTATTTTATTTTGAAAAATAGTTATATAAACTAATTATAAAAAATAATAGGCAGATAATTAAGTCAATTCAAAATCCCGGCCCGAAGGCCGAGGCCCGCAAAAAAAATTTTTTTAGCAATTTTTTTTCTACCGCAATTTTCATATTTCTTCCCCATAATCCAAATTTCTCCCGCAATTTGAAAATTTTGACCTGGCAACCCTGGTGTTGACATAAAAATTGCACCGGAGTAATATTTTTAATATTCATTTATTATGTTTATAGATAATCCAAAAGTGCTCCTAACACCTAACTATAAAAAATAAAACAAAGAGAAATAATATTTAAAAAAACTAATTTATGTAATACTACCTGAAAATCGGTTATTGGAAATATATGATCAAATTTAGTAAGCATATTTTGTTTAAAGGATGCTATGGAAGGACCATCATATTCTTTACGATTAAATGATTTTTAATTTCACTACGAAATAATAAGGATAAATTTATAGTAAATCCTTTTTGGGTAGATAAAAATTCAACAGTTTTTTGAAGATTTAAAGAAAATTTAAAAATTCATGCACCAAGTCCCAATCCTAGTTAAATAATTTGAGATCCGATTTCTTCATTCTATTTAATAGCTATGTTTTTATATATGTTATAATGGCAATGAAATAAAAATCATTAATTAAAAATTCCTTATACGATAAAATATAAATTATATATGATGAGCTGTAGATTGCATCATTAAAATATTGTATTACTTTTTATATAATAATTGATGGTCTTATGCTTATCATATACAAAAGATTTGAAACATCAAAAATTAAAAGAATAAAAATATTAATATATCAATACCTTTTCTCTAAATCACTAACCTAATAATAACATATCATCTTGTTACAAATCAAATGTTTTTAATAATATTTATTAATTTTAAAAAATATAATCGATTTTTTATTAATTTAAAAAATATTATTTTTCTTCCAATTATAATTCATAAATAATATACAAAATAAATATTATTTTTTATAATAAAAAATATGCATCACGCCGCCATGCCGCCGGATTTTGCATCGGCGTGGTGGAAAATCACCAGCAGCGGCCTATTTGACCGGCGGCGCACAGGTCTATCTATATCTAATTTTTCTGATAATGATCTGTGGAACTAATGATAGAAATTTATGAGTCGTGGTAGTTTTCTGTATATTTATTCATGACTTTGATAGCAGCATATAAAAAGTGGAAGAATGTACATCATATAATATATTATAATAATTCACATCATCGTAGTGTCAAAAATGATTATATAAAATTGAATCTAATAATGATTGTCTTCTTACCAAAATGTTATCAATATAGCTATTTGTTTATCTATACTAATCAATCATCAAGTTAGGTAAAATGTTTTTTTTAAATATAAACAAAACTAAAATACCGTAAGGTATAAAACTAAAATATATTTACATATGTTAGCGGCAATGTGATATTTTCGGCAATGTGAGCTAGTGGTAGGCAGGGTAATTTTGTTATTTCGGCAAAGTATATAATGCCGAAATAACCAGGCAATGCATTCTATTTTACAAATTAATAAATTTATTATTTATTTGAGATTAATTTATTATTATTTAATATTAATTTATTATTATAAATTTATTTTATATTTTTTTTAAATATATTTTAATTTGTTACAATATTATTTTTGATTGATATTTTTTTTTAATATTATTTATTTTTTTGATCGCTAATTTTTTTATTTTTTGTGTTATATGATTTTCTTAATAAATAAGTGACAATTGTCATAATCGTTATTTTTGAACTTTTTTGAGTTTCTTTAAAGTAAATAGGTAAAAATATGTTTTGTAACATGTTAAATTAATATTTCAGTGAAAATGTACTATAGAAAAGTGACAATTGTCATAATCGTTTTTTTTGAACTTTTTGAGTTTTTTTAAAGTATATAGGTAAAAATATGTTTTGTAAACCTGTTAAATTAATATTTCAGTGAAAGTATAGTATAGAAAAGTGACAATTGTCATAATCGTTATTTTTAAACTTTTTTGAGTTTTTTTAAAGTAAATAGGCAAAAATATGTTTTGTAAAGATGTTAAATTAATATTTCAGTGAAAGTGTACTATAGAAAAGTGACAATTATCATTATCGAACTTTTTTGA